AACCCAATAAATTGTGTTACCGGTTTACATACCGATCACATAGCGGTGAAAATCACTTAGATTGGTGTCATATAAAGTATATCTTCCATACCTCTGATTGTTTAGATGCGATTTTTTATATAAGTATGTAACTCCTCTATCGATGTATGCAGATGTATTCAAAAGCAGTTATCTGTCAAAGTAAAATTTGCAGATGTTCATGAAAAGTATGAAGCCTTCGGCATAGCCGAAGACAGCGCTGCTCTTACTTGTTAGTAGTTTACAAATGTGTAGGACTGACTTGAGGTTCATATTGAGCACTGATATACATAGGTGCAGCAATATTATAGACAAACCAAGTCATAAAAAACAACGGTGATCCTTTGTTTGAACCGCAAGAACAAATGTACCAATGGAATTGCGAGAATGTAATTAATATTTATACTAAATACCTGTACAGTACACAATACTCATATCTGTTGTTGTGCTTCCGTGTTCTTTACCTTTAAGATTGTACACAGAACACTATATTTTGTACTGGGGGCTCCTTAGGCCGGCAGCAGTCCAGGCAGAGTTACCAACTATTCACTGAGTGCATTTAGCTTCCTGCGCACTTATCCGGAGAGCTGTAGCTATTGTTGCACCTCCTTGTTCCTAGTAGGCTTTTGTACGCCTGAGCAGGATTCACTTAATAATTTAAGCTGGAAAACTACACTATTTTGAACTAAGAGTTTTACAAATCACCCGCGTCCACTGCATTCGGTTTTAAGTTAAACACAAGCTAATATTTTTAGATTTAATTAATATTTGCTTTATTTGCTTTAAATTGCTCCGCGCGACCGCTTGGTTTCTAAGTCCGATTCGAATTGAATTTACATTCGTTTTATTTTACTACTTGTAGGTATATGTGGAACGTAAGCTCGCTTGTATATGGGATATGCCCATGGTGTAATAATAACAAGGTGTTGTCAGTAACTTAACCTCACTTTTTCGGCAGGTCTATTCCGGTCACGCATTTTAAAGTAGTAGAAAAAGTACTAACTATTTACTACTTTTAATCCGTTCGTGCATACTATTTCAAATTAAATGTAGAAAAATTTTTAATTACAGGCTTATAAGCCTGAATATATGTTTGTATCGTAAGCTCCACACAGGTTGCACATATATTGTAACTTATAAAAAAGTGCAGGCCGTAAAATAAGGCAATTTCCTATAAAACTGTAAATGATTTTTTAAATAGATTAGTAATAATAATACTAGATTGGCGCTTACACATATGTTAGTGTTTGACCGAGCTTCTCCTCCGACTTGTGGCGTGCGCCTTGATGTTGTCACACAAAGCGGAGGGACCTACAGTTTTACGCCGACTCCGAACGGCGATTGCACTTTTATGAGAAGCCTTCATGGCAGTAATACACTCGGAGGTTTGCCATTGCCTGCCGAGGGACGACCGCTGTTAAGAAAAAACCTTTTTTTCTATATTTTTTGCGATGTTGCTTTGACCAGGGCTTGAACCCAGATGATGCGGAGTGGAGCGCGTGCTGCTTACCACTACGCCACAGCGGCTGGCATGCGAGTGTCGACTGGCAGTAGAATAGAAATTTGTCGATCGAGTCGATCATCTTTTATTTTGCTATTGTGTAACTTGATCGATAAAAATTTGTACTATTGTGAATGGTGACGGAATTGTAAACAGCTGTTTGTTTGTTTACATTTGTTTCTTTAATGTTTCATTTACATAATTTTTAAAATAATTGCTTTTATTATAAAATTTAAAAAATGGACACAGTTGAAATATGGTTTAGTGATGAGGAAGATGATGTGGGAGCTAATAGATTAGTAGAGTTGGCTAAAGCATGGAGGGAATTGCGAGATTCGTCGGATCCCATGGAGTTGGAAGATGAAGTGTATGTACATATGTGAATTTTATGAAAAGAAGTTGCGTTCCCGATGCTTCAAGGTTTTTAGGTTTTACAGGATTTGCAGGAAAAGCTGTTTTCCTCATTAATAAATTTTATGGAAGTTTAAGAAATACGGTACCGTTTAGTTATTTGTACAATGATGTTGAGTATTTGTGTCCAAACGCGTGACCCGAGTTTTAAAACTTTAACATACAAGTGCAGTGAAAGAATTAAACTTTAATTTATCATAAAGATTTCAAGTTTCCGAGCATTAGTTAATTAATAAATTATGCAGTGTTTTGTAAACTTTGATGTTGGTTCTGCGCAAAAACACTGTGGATGGCGAAGCCGGAATTATATGCACAAGAAATATTGTATATCTTTCACAAAAGAAGCGGAGCTTCCTCCCCTGCTCTTTACGGAAATTCCTTTGCCTATGTCCTCACTCTCCTGCATCAGCTCGACCAACCGCGCAAGTTGCCTTTTGTTGTTACAATTTTTTATCTGTAATTCAGACACATATGTACATACATATGTATATTTCACAATTTTTTACAACTTCCAATTCAATTGACTTACTTTTTATCAATTATAGTACCACTTTCTTATGTAAATTTTATAAACGCAAAATCCAACGACTAAAAAACAGCAATGGAAGGATGAGCGATTAAAAAGTATTCACAGTCGCTAATTGAGCGACTAAGCGACACTCACAATAGCATCGATAATCGATAATCGCTTAATAGTCGTTTATCTACTGCCAGTCGACACTCGCAATAGGGGTGAAAGGCTACCCAAGCAATGCGTTACATTGGGCAAGGCAAGGTAAGCGTGCAGCCTTGCGACGTCTACTACAGCGGCCACGTAAAGGAGCGCAAATTCTGTGTTGGATTTGTTATAAGAGAGAGACTGCTTCGCTGATTAGAGGCGTTCACCCCGGTGGGCGAACGTCTAGCCACAATCCGCTTCAATTCTTCAGCTAGATTCTTCAACATCTCGCTCATCTGTGCGTGAAAAAGAACGACGAGGCGTCTAAGGATCTCTTTTATACTTCTATCAGCGCTTGGAGCGCACATATGAGCGCAGCCCCCCCGACACGATATAAAAATCATGCTTGGCGATTTAAATGCCAAGGTGGGCACTGCACTGTCGGAAAATTCCGTCTCCACGACGTACGACCGATAACGGACTGAGGCTGATCGACTTCATCCAGGTCCGAAATATGTATAAAAAGATCCATCAAGCTACGTGGCTGTCTCCAGATCGAAAAACGAGAAACCAAATCGATCATTTTGTGATGTGCGCCCAAGGAAGGCTTAACGTAGAAATGCCGCAATCACAACATACGGCCAATTTATTCGCCACTCGACTCACACCTGCTCTCTGAGAGCACTCTTAAACAACCCGACATAAGCCAGCAGTGGAACCACATTTCTCGCTCATTAAGTACCGCCGCCGAAGATATAGTCGGATTTCAGCTCTGCCCAATCCACAAAAAAGGCGACCCCGCCATTCGCGCCAACTACCGCGGAATCAGCCTTCTAAGCATAGGTTACAAGGTCTTATCGAGTGTATTGTGCGAAATACTGAGGCACACTGTCAACGAACTGATTGGGCCTTATCAGCGTGGCCTTAGAACTGACAAATCCACCATAGACCAGATATTCACGATACGCCAAATCTTGGAAAAGACCAGAGAGAAAAGGGTCGACACTCACCACTTACTGGTCGACTTCAAAGCCGCTGTCGATAGCACTAAAAAAAGTTGCCTATATGCCGCGATGTCTGAATTCGGCATCCCCGCGAAACGTAAAATAAGGTTGAGCAATACCACCTGCTCCATCAGAATTGGGAAGCACCCTCCAAGCCGTCTGACACCAAGGACCTCTCTGAGCCGCTCAGACAAGGTTCGTTGGCTCAGAAGAGAAACGACTGGCGTGCTGTTTTGGACTCGACCAAAATCGGTAAGGCGGTGATACCGCTAGCTCTATTTTGAAAATTTTGACAGAAATATGACGTCATAGGAGATTTTGTGTATTGCCTGTGTAACATACATATACATATACACATGTAAAACATATACGACGGCAAATCTACGATGACATTCGGAGTGATACGCAGATATTAGCGAATAATGCGTCCATC